TATATATATATATACACACACACATACTTACCTTTCCCAAACAATACAAAAATTGTATATGCATTTATTGGCGAACAAGGCCTCCATCTATTCCTATATGACAAAGAATTTACCTAAAATTTACCAGGTTAAAGCCATTTGTGCTAATGACTTCCTTATCTACCAACAACACAATACCAATCAATTTTCAAACGGCTTTAATTATTTGTGATATATCAGAAATACCAAAGAGGGCTCATTCTGGCAATGATCGTATTCGTATATATACACTAAATGGTTAACTGAGCGCTTGGAGTGGCTTGTTAGTTGGACAAGTGGCCTGGTAGTTGGGCAAGCCCAGAAAGTTGGAACTCCGTTTCATGATGTACACATTTTTAACTAGGCGAAGTGCCTATTCTGAGACTGGCATTATAGAAAATATTAAATGTTGCTAATCTAGTGATGTGAGTTATGTTTCCCTAGGTTTTAGACACCAGCAGCACCTACAGTAAAACTTAACATTTTATTGGTAACTTTAGCCCATGTGCACATAAAAAACACTGAATCCAAATGGTTTTTTCAAGGTCAGTGCCACTAGTTTGAGCGAAGCATTATGCATGCACTAAAAAAATAAAAAATAAAAAAGGTAGAATTTGGTTGTTTTTAGGTGCATATAGACTAAAGTTATCAATAAAGTGATCAGGTTGGGCTATTTATATTATTATTTATGCATACTTACTAGCTAATGAAGAATTCTTATTATGGATAGGAAGGCAAACAATTTAAAAAATTCATTTTGGTAGCTAGTCACTCCACTAGCTGTCTGAGTCACACGGTCCTCCTTCCACTGTATAGGAGGAACACCAGAGAGGAGGTTCCATAATGAAATCAGTGTAGTAAGGTAGACCAAAGTATGTAGGGTGCTGGAATAGATGTATTGCAAAATTTTACACGTCTAGTTGACAATTATGTGCTAAACAACTACAATGCTTCCATTTAAATTAGCATCTTTAAATCTTTCCTGTCTTGTTACATTTTGCTTGCTCAGTTGTTTCCCATACATGTAACCATCAGGTAGGACAGAGAAAAGGATAATTTCAAAATGCAAACAGGGAAATCATGGCACCTATACAGGCCCAGACTGGCAACTGCAAATAGGTCTAGTTCATCTGAGAATCAATAGGCTGCTTTAAACCAAGAATTCATTTTAGATGTATACAATAGATTCTTTACATGGTCCCAACTCTACATAAGCATCAATAACATTGCAATATCATTTAAAATATGGTCACTTTCAGTCTGGCACATCTAACAAGTTCAGAATGAAACATACTGTCTTACCGAAGTGGTAAAAGGATGCAGTATCGTATAGATACTCCAAGTACCCAAACAAGTGTAAGTCGGAGGCTGATGTACTGAAAGTTGTAGTTTGTTCTTGTTAGAAGATTCCAAGATATAAGCTCTTCAGAGGAAAATCTTTGAGTGACCTCATCTTCCACAATAGCTTCAAACCCTTTCTTGGAAAAGTAAAAGGCATCAGACAATTCAAAATCCCCGCGCTGCAAGTATTGGCTTCGGCTTTGCCTCAAGCCTACAATCTCTTCTTCCATAGGAGACTCGTCTCTCTGTATGATGCCTTAGGAGAGTATAAAATAAGATATTACATTTATTTTTTTGTGTAAAAAGCATGCACTTAGACTCAGACTATAGGGATCTATTTATAAACAATTTACAGATCCATTCATCCTACAAATCTTTGTGAATATACGTTCATTGGGAATAGATGCTCTTAGTATATTTTTTTTTTTTTATGAGGAATGTAATGTGATACCCCAATAGGGCCACCAGATGGCCATAAATACTTACATTTTCTATGCTCCTCAGCGCCATCTAGTTACCATAATGTGGTATTACATTAGACCTGAAAAATACTGAAGGATGTTAATTTTTGCCTCCCACAGAACGAACATCCACAGAGATCCACAGGGCAAAGAGCTCTGCGAGCAATATATCAATAGACCCCTTACAACAACACTGTAAAGTGGATTCTGCTGTCTGAGATTATCCCTGCACAGGTAAAATGTAAATGTCCTGTATTTCAGTTCATTTACTCCGACATTCTTAAATGCAAATATAAGTACCGAAGGTTTTCCTTGATCCCAGGAGTTGTTTGTTTTTCTTCAAAGTATGTGAAAACCCAATCACTAAAGTCTTATATAAGTTGTCTTCAGTATTTTTAAACCTGCAAATTGCATTAATAATATCTGGTGATCCTGTCAGGAAGATGAAGGCCCTTATTCAAGCACTTCCTGTTATGAGACAACAACTGTCTCCCAATTGTGCCCGTGTGTTGTCACCCTGTCACATGCACCCCTGGTGGAGAACAGAAGCGGCTGTGCAGACACACACACACATTGCACAGGCATGGTCCATCACGGTCACTATCAGAAAGAAGGTCCAGTGAAATGAGTCAACACTGGAACAAGTGCATGTAGACAGGAACTGACTGGAGGAGATAAAAGGAGCACCGAAATGCAAAAAAAAAAAAGGTAAAACAAAAAAAACAGCATTTTATGTGAAAAAAACATGCGTTTATATAATCTCTCCCCTGTTCACAATCACTTCCTATTCCCCAGTCACTGTCATCTGCCACACAACCATGGTTATTAGGACTCTAACTGATTTCCCAAAAGTCCACAATTAGCTCAAACTGTATATATCATTAATCACTGGGTACCAGGCGTAACTGAGGAGAGGACATAAGATTTGTACAAAATATAGAAGGTTGCCCCATATTTATTCAAAAAGACAAATTGTATATTTTTGTACTAAGGAGTGTACTACTATTACAAAGGTAATCATTTTTTTAAACTCCTAGCAAAAACCTAACATGTACAGTTCCAATACATAGATATTTGTTTTCCTGCCTAAAGATTTATAAATCTTTTAAGCCACTCTTGAGATTTACATCCTTCTGCCACAATGTTCATCCAGGAAGAATACTACTACTTGTTCAACTTTAGTGCTTCCTGCATCACCTGTTTATTGAAAAGAGATTTAATTAATAAATGCTGATTGATTGTCCTGGGATCATGCTTGTTAGTGTGACACAGCAACCTGGAAAGCTGAAATAATAGAGATGTCACCTGGATGGTTGTAGAGATCGGTGTAGATAACAAGATTGGTTGAATAACATTAAATAACATGGAGTCCTGATCAAGATGGGCAATCTTGTTTGCAAAATTACATTCAAGTTGGAAAAATAGGTAACGGGTGTGAAGCATTAGGTGATGGAGTTTAAGGGAAAAAAAAAAAAAAACTTGGCACTTTCATTATTTTGACATCAGGATATTAGCTATCCAGCTGTCAGTCTTTACACTCTTAAGGTGCCCATACACCTTACGATTATCGGACGAAACTTTTCGTCCGATGATCGAACCGTCAAACGATTTTCGTACGACGGCCCCATCCTGCCCCGATTATCGAAAGGTTCAATCAGCGGTAGTTAAAAAAAAAAAAAACCAACACCTGGACGACTTGCTATAATTGACCGTAATTATTTTCGTTTGCACATGCGCAGTGTTAATTGTACGACTTTTGACGGACGGAAACGCCATCAACCATGCCAACATCGTACGATCGACCAAAGTTTTCAAACATGCTTGACCGGCAAAAGTCGTACGATTGTACAGTACTATCGGTCGGGCACTCTATTCACACTTACGATTGTCATACAAAAAGTCGATCGATAATCGTAAGGTGTATGGGCACCTTTAGGTAAATGCTTTGATTTATTTACCCAGAACAAGTATGCCGATAAAAAAGGACCTATGACACTCTTCCAACTTTCCTGATTTACTCATTTTAGGTTGGTTATTCAGTATTAAATATCAGTATACCTGTCAGTAAACTAGCATTTTCAGAAACAGAAATGGCAGTCCCCATAACCTACTGTCAATGTGAATGCTTTCAAACTAGAACTCTAATCATGAAATGGATTAGTTTTAATTTTTCACGCTTGTATAGATTTTTGGGGGGCACGAATCCTCCTACTGGCACCAACGATGGGGCCCAATTCCTCCACTTTTACCATTCATTTCACACAATTGCTTCCTCTGACACAAATGATGGGGCACTGTTCCACCCCGTGACTCAAAAAACAGGGCACCTTTCCTCCCACTGACTCCAAGCGTGGAAGGAATGGAGTGCCATTAACACCAATCATGGGACATTGTTGCTCCCACTGATACCAACGATGTGGCATTATTTTTTGCACTGGCACCATTGATAGGGCACTATTCCTCCAACTGATACCAAGGGTGGGGAACTATCCCTCCCCATGGATACCAACGGTGGGGAACTACTCCTCCCACTGATACCAACGGTGGGGCACTTTGTATAACACTATTTTTTTTCTTTTGCGTGAACACCATTGACAGGGCACTATTCCTCCCACCGACGCAAACCAAGGGGCAATATCCCTCCGAAGGACGCCAATGATGGGGCCCTATTCCTCCTACTACAATCTGCCCTCCCTAAAACAAACTCAGAAGGATAATGAATTGGCAATTTGTTTAGAAAGTTTGGAGGACCCTTGATGTAGATGATTGATTCTAAAAATGTGCAGGGCAGTAAGTAAAAGAAAGGGGGGGGGGGGGGATTCAGACCCATTACAGACTATACATTTGCATTAACACTGTCATTCTAATGCTTTACAAAAATTGTATGTGATGCACTGAATGAATGCAAGCATATAATCCCCTTCAGATTTAACATTTTTACTATTAAAGAAAAGCACTAGCTTGGCTGCTAGACCAGTCCACACAGCCTCTTCTCCCCGGGCTCCGGCGGTCTTAGCCGTGCTGACGTCATGTGGAATACAAGTCCATTAACTTGTATTACACGCGAGGATGCCAAGGGACATTCCCCAGCTAGAGTGGAGGGGGAGAGAGTGGATCAGTCACTGCCGCAGTACTGAGCATTGGGCGAGTATATATTTTTTTATTTTAGACCCTAGACCAAAACAAGCACTTAACCCTTAATCTTTAATGCTGGCCATGCACATAGCTTTAGTCACTGCTGAAAGCAGTGTTTTATTGGTGCACCCCTATCTGAAACAAGTTGGCAACCCTCAGACCTGTGTGTGGAGGTTCACATAGTCGTGTGTGCAGGAGAAGTTGGTGCTCTATTACAGAAATGTTTCGTTGCCAGATATTTAGCAGTACAGCCCTTGTCAAAAACCATTCAGTGCTAAGACGAAGGCAATATTAGTTTAGTTTAAAATAGACAGCTTTTTTCAAATGCCTGGAGTTCCTCTGTAAATAACTATAAGCAGAGATGCCCTTCATGCATGCAATTGGAAGGACATAGCTCAAGAATGTCACTTGATTGCAGCATATCTGGCTTTGAGCCTTCAATGTGAACAATGCTTTGGTACAATGCCCTGTTATATGCTGAACTGGGCCACAGGATGACAGACAAATGGACTACTTTTTTTTCACCTAAAAGCAATGCATGGTTTTGCGCTTTTATGCATTGCCCTGTGCTGCAATGCACTGACGCCAGGAGGTGCACTGGGGTGCCATTTAAATGCAAACGCACCTAGTCATTATAAGCGTAATGCTCAGGTGTAAACTGGTCCCTAAATAAGTTTTAAAACAAGCCCGCAGTGGCATTTGTAGCAATTCAAATACAACTCTCACAGCAAAAGCATGAAAGTCACTCAAGCTGGCTGTGTCAGCTCACCCAGCTTGACTCTGATGGAGCACCTGCTCTGCTACATTAGAGATTACAAGGCTGCTAACTCACTGCTGGGTAAAGGGAGCTAAACTGTCCAAAAAAAAACAACAACTTTAGTGCTCTCTGATCCAGCGCAGACTGCGGTTTCTTCCTGTACCACAGAGTCTGTCCGGTGTGCGCGCTCACAGCTGCATGCATTGACATTCACTGTAGCTCTCCTCCTCTCCCTTCCGGCGATATCCTGAACTGTACATGCGCCTGCACACATCCTCCTGCACTGCCAGTAGTTCTACAGCCAGGAGCAAGCGACACAGGCACATGTAAGTTTTTACCTATGTGGGAACTTTATTTTTTTTTTTAAGGGAGAACTATGAAGTGAGTGATTTTCACTCATCCTTATAGTTCGAGCCGACGTGCGACAATGAAACTGTTACACTTCGGCTTAATAGATCGGGAAGTGAGCGAAAACATACAGTTGCTCGTTTCTTGATCCTGTCCCTGCAGAGAGCCGTGACTGTCACTCACGGCTCCCTGCAGGGATTCCCCCCCTCCAGCGCTGCTTGGAGGAACGAACGGGGAGGGGGCGGGTACAGCTGGCTCTGCCTCTAGAATAGGCAGAGCCAGCTGTCAATCACGCAGCTGGGTGGATCTTGACAGTAATGTCGGGATCCTTCCCAGCTGCGGCGGTCACAGTATACCGCGAACGGTAGCGCGCGATATACTGAGCTTTGTGTCACGGGAGGATGCTAATTTATGACCTCCCGTGACCCTAAGGAGAACTATGGGGGAAAAAACACTTACCCCATAGTTCTCCTTTAAATGTTTTTGCATATATCTATCTACTGCTTGCTAGCAGTAGATATATGTTTAAAAAAAAATGACTTTAATGTAGTGCAC